TCAGTGGTCATAATGTTATAGCTGATCGGTGTATAGCAAACAACAAGAGATTGTCCATGTCTAGATAAGTTAAGGGTTGTACTGCATGTGTGAAAGAGATGCCTTCACATCTTACAGTACCACCTGTGTCCATTTCACTGTAAGACCAAAGGCGCAGGAGGCCACAGCACCTCATCAATCAAACTGGGAGTAATTAGACACAGATTGCTGCAAATTGCCCAGGAGGATGGGAATCAATGTAAAGCAAAATTAACCCAGGGACAAAATTGACAAAGATGAAACAACTGGTACAAAATTGCATATGAATTCCAATTATGATAAATACCAGGGCTCAAGGCATAAGTCCTTGTTTGTTGGCACTGGATTCTTTGAAGAATGCCAAGTGGAACTGTTCTGCATGGGTTGATAAGAAATGGCCAACAAGAAATAAAATGTGTCCGTGTTCACCTTGTAAAGTGCATCCCAGCTTTGATTATAAGAACACCTAATAAGACCAATAAGAAAGTATGATACTGCAAGAAGGTAGTATGATACTGTCTGCTATAATATGAAGAAAGTTCACAGAGCAAAGCTAGAAGTGCAGATTAATTTAAGGTGCTCATGTTTTTGGGGATCTGAATGTATATGTTTGCAAATGAATGTTAACAGTTAACAGAGCTCAGGTACACTTTGTCGTATGGCACAAGGCATGCTGGCACAGCAACGTGTTGCAACTGGCAATTCAGATGCAGCTCTCTCTACTGCTGAAGCCAGTTCATATGAATATATGAAGGACTTTTTTTTTTTTTTTAAATGATGGAAAAAAATGTGCCTGCCAAAAAAAACAAGTTTAAACATAAGCAAAATTGTCAACAAATTTTAAAGCAGCGCACCAGTTTTCGTTCAAATTTCTAAATTGTGAACTATGGACGTGAACTATTTCATTAATAATATGATCTGTGTGAACTGAACTGACAGAATCATCATTCCTGACATAATTTATGTAAAAAGCCAATATCAGTATAACCCTGACATGCAGTGTGTCAAATTTTCCAAAGAATGTACCGGAAGCCTTGACAGGCATCTCAAGCCTGAATAGAACCGAGCCATCCTCTCTATCTGTGACAAGCCACTGAACCCCGACCAGTTTAACTGATCCTTTCTTGAGCCGAGTTCTGCTGTGCTCTTATCTGAAGGAGTGTGTTGATGTGACTGTGTCATGATAATGAAGTTAGGGCCACAGAAGCCTGTCTCAGTGACTGAGTGATCGCCTGAGGGCTTCTGCCACCACCCTCATTCATCACAGCGATGATAGTTTTCTCTCTCTCTCTTGCTCTCTGTCTCTCCATCTGTCTCTCTCATTTCCCATTCCCAGTTCCTGCATTTGCATTTGTACCCTTTCAGCTGTTCATTAACACTTGATGAATGCTGCTGTGTAAAAAGGTTTCCTTAAAGCCATTTAGTTTGTGAGTCATGAATATTTCTTGCACTCGCACTCAACCCCCACCACACTCATCACACGCTCTTTTTGTGGCTTCACGGCTGTAACACGGTTTCTAATGCAGGTCATCTGTCAGACACCCAATCCTTATTATCTGTTACCTCTGTAGATGTGACGCAGTTCGGGGCATCAGCACCTTCTTTCACCCCCGAGCAACCTGAAACCTTTGAATATGTGCAGACCTGGTGCGGACTGACATCACATCCCTGGAATGTCTCTCTTTTCCTGCCTCTCTTTCCCCCCACATGTAGCAGAGAGATCCCGCTTCCTACCAGAGTCAGAGGGTGAAAGGTAGTTGGCTTGTTAGTATATTTATACAACATTTCTTTTCATTATTTTTGGAATCAAATTACAACAAATAGACCACAAAGAAATATGCAAAACAACTACAAAGTGACAAAAATAACTGCAAAGAGACTCAAAACGACAAAGCGACAAATGACCATGGAGAGTGGTGGGGGGCCTTTTACATGTCAGACTATTTAGCTCTAGAAGAAGCAGCTATTTGTTAATTTTATTAATAATGATGCCAAGTACCAAGGCTTAAAATGTGCCACCAGTTTGGACCCCGCCTCCCCATTCAAAAGTTTCTAAACCCGCCCCTGCCCACACATCAACTCTTCTCACTCTGCTCATCTACCATTCTTTTTCAATCACTTTCACTGTCATTTCTTCCCCTCACTTTTTTTTTGCCTCTTACTGCTCTTTCTCCTCATATGGCCTGATTTTGCACTTTGCAGCTGCCATTAGTCTAAAGTACCGTCTCTCATGCATTAACCATTGGCCCATATTGGCTCCCATTAGATCTGCCATCTCTCATAGAGGAAGAGCTGAGGTGTTGGAAGACAGACTGAGTGCATGGGCCTGATGCTTTTATAACAGCAAGAAGGCAAACCATCTTGTGCTTATTAACATCCTGCTCAGCCATACCTTCAGCAAAAGTTAGCGTTTTACAACGGGAGGTTTCCTATTAGCAGTGACAGAGGAACAAGATGAAATACACACCTTCATGAGCCTAACGACTCATATGCTAATTGTGATTGGTTGATTTGCCGCGGCGCTGCCAGATGGAATACCGATTGAGGGACAGAGGCATTTTGATGATGGGAACATGAATGTTAAGACATAATCACATCAAAGATGACCTTTACCGCCCTTCTGCACCTGTTGGCTCTCTAATTGGCAAAGTGTTTTGATGTTTCACTTTGTGTAAATAATTTAAATCTATTCAAGCCATATCTACTCGCACTGTGAGTGTAATATTAGCAGATAGAAGCAAATGTTTGCAGTCCTATCTGCAATATTGGTTTATTGCATGCTGTTGATTTGTTGTCAGACAGATTCAACCTCTAAAATATCTATGAATATCGACCACAGACTATATTTTCAAAGGTAAGGCCATGGCCATTAAAATGATAAAATAAACAGTGTGGAATTTGGGTTGGAATAAGTCAAGGTTAGAAATCCTTAAGGGTGGAATGAGCTAAAATATGGATTTAAGTCTGTGCTCTCCTTTTATTTATTTTTTCTTCGTACTCTTTGTGGCATCTGACAATTAGAGCTCCATTCGGCTCCTGCTGATTACATTTGCAGCAGGTATCAATTAGTCCCAATAACAGTTGTTATGAAATTAAGTCCAGGTGAGTGCCTTACCTGAATGGTGCATTGTAATTACTCATTTAAATGAGCTCTGTCAAATTCTGTGTTTGTGCTTTCTCTCAGTCAGATGCCAGTGGTTGGTCACATTTAACAGAACCTTATTTGTGTGTGTATATATATGCTTTCAGGTTTCTAACAGAATAAAATCTGGTCTATGAGGGCATGCAAACTGATGATGATTGTCAGCAGCATGTGAGAGTGGAGGAAGAGTTTACTGTTTGCTAAACCCTGCCCCCAAACACTGCTTCATAGCACGGTTCATAGGAACCGTAGCTCAGTACAGCGGGTCCGTCAAGCTTCAGATTTCTCTATATGTCTATAAGTTCAAGTTTGTAAGGGGCTCTATTAAGAGAAATATTCAGTGTGCATTTTCCTTATCTAATTTTGTATTTATTTTATTTAAACTAAAAACACAAGAGCAAAAGTGTAAGAAATTAATCAAACAGTGTGTTTGTCTGATGAAGTCCAAAAGGCAAGGAACAAGGTTATAGGTTTTAAAAAGACCTATCATTCAATCTTTGTTTATATCTTAAAGGACTGGATTTAGTGGCATCTATCAGTAAAGTTGCAGGTAACTTGACAGCGCTCACATCAGCATTGATGACCTGGGAATGATAAGTGTGTAGGAGAAACTACTTTTGCTGTGAAACTTTGAAAAGCGCAAAAGGCCCTATCTAGGGTTGAAAACACAATGATTCCTATATTCAGGTGATTATACACTAATAAAAACATATTAATATTATGTAACATTTCTGACAATAGATCCTCCTAAAAGGTACACACTAGACCAGCAAAGCAATTGGTATATTTATAATGTATGTATTAATTAAAGGACTTCTCTAAAAAGTAAAGTGACGAGTAT